ATATGTAAAGCTAGGACTGACTCAGCCATGCTACGTTGGTACATGGAAGCGATACCCGCGGTGACATCACAACATCGAACTCATCGCGGCTGTGACGTAGGAGCTGTAGGATGTGACGTAGGAGCTGTACGTAGGATGTCTCATCACAAAGCTTTATCAGGCGCGGGAGGATGCCTTCGTAAACATCAAATCATGAAAATTTTCCTATACGTTGTGTTCTGCACTTAAATGAATTAATATCCTCATCGCTTGTGTTTAAATTTTCCAATCCGAGATTTTTATAAATAATTGAATAAAATGACGAATCGACAGCGAATAAAATAAGATGACACATAAGACGGGTTATATTTTAAAAGTTGCATTTGTTCCTAAATTTATTTTAGGCAAAGAGAAGAAGCAAAGTTAAACCAAATAAAGGCCAACATTTCATCACATGATAGCAATTCCCCTTTAGTTTATTGAATTATTTCAAATGTTATTATTTTAAAAGATTTAACGGATGATGAGTCACTAATATATTGAGAAAAATCATCGCACAGAAGTTCAGAGCGCATCCTGTATGAGTTAATTATCCTACTTATCTTATTAAACTAATAAATTAAGCACATATCATTTGCTTGCTTCACCATTGTCGTGACACGGTCAAACTGCGGAGAAGGCTGGGGAATAGAGGGCTGGTGAGGAGAAGGCTGGTGAGGAGAAGGCTGGTGAGGAGAAGGCTGGTGAGGAGAAGGCTGGGGAATAAAAGGCTGGTGAGGAGAAGGCTGGTGAGGAGAAGGCTGGTGAGGAGAAGGCTGGTGAGGAGAAGGCTGGTGAGGAGAAGGCTGGTGAGGAGAAGGCTGGTGAAGAGAAGGCTGGTGAGGAGAAGGCTAGTGAGGAGAAGGCTAGTGAGGAGAAGGAAACCTAACTCAAATAATTAGTTCCTTGATAAAATCTTGCGTTCTTCGTTTGCAGGGTTTTTAAGCGATCACTGTAATGGTTCGTCTTGGAGCCTAAAAATATAAAAATATTGTCATTTAAACAGTCATATCAAGGAAGTAAAGTTTTGCTTATAAGGAAACGTGTCGCATGCAACAAGAAATTTAAGGAAGGTTTCGAGCGTAACAATATTCGTGTACGTTTTCCAACAGTTTATTCTAACCAATCTTATTTGAAGAAGTCAGCCGCATAAAATGGTTCGAAAATATTCGATTTTGGCTACCATTTTTTGGCACAATTTTACTTGCGGTAGGATAAATTTCTCCGCATTAATGGTTTTGAATGAAACTGAAAAATGCCTGACGAAACAGCTAAGCCATTATGAGTAACAAAAGACTATAAGTTTATAAAAGTTAAATAAGTGCTATAACACTTGTGAATCATATAAGTGCTTCCAGTCTATAAGTTCACTTAGCTTTAGGAAATGCTGTTTAAACGCGACAAGGAAGTGAAGCGTGTGGTTGCGGCAAGGTTATTCTGAAGGATTCTGTAGGACGGCGTATAGGATAGGGACCTCGACCTATACTTTCAAAAAAAGTTAAGAGATCGTAAGTTCATCAGCCAATCATTGACGGCTTTTCAAACAAAATCCACCAATCATAGACAAGAAAATAGAGTGTAAGTACTTACGTGCACTTAGCCAGTTTTGAAAGTATGGTCCCTCGACCTCAACGTAGCTCAGCTTGACCCTTGGACGGCTACGTGAAAAATTTTTTATTCATGATGATTCGGAAAATTTATGTGGTGGTAGTTTTTGTCATTCAATGTTTCACACTAATGCCTATAATGTGGCTGGAGAATTTTAAAATAGGGCTAGAGCTCTCACATTTTTTGTTTGGTTTCGTCAAGTAAAATAATTGGAAGTTGATTAATAATATAATAATATAATAATATAGCGGTTTCAGCGTTAATTAGGCCGTTGGCCTGTCGCCGATTCTTAACATCGCAGAACATTTCACAGCATTTTGCGGTCTCGAACTCGCAACGCACTGCTACAATCCTACTGTGCTTAACCGCCCGGCCTCCTTGCCGATTCTGACCAGAAACTGGCGCACAGAGCTGGGATCGAACCCGCGCCTCTCTGCGCCAATCCTGGTACTCTGAACTGTAACCACTGGACCACCCTGCCCAGTGGTTACATAATAAACAATTATTCTGCACGTCTTTGACTACCCATAAATGATCAAGTCTCAAATGCGCAAGATGAACAAAATTTAAATGAAGGTCACTTTAAATTATTGCTTTTACATTTACTGTGCTAATTAAGTATCATAATTCGAGAGATATCATGAATTATTATGTAAGGAGAATGTTAAGCATTTACCCTATAAGCAATCAAGGCTGGGGCGCAATTGTAGCGCGCGGCGGCGGTTTCACTCACCGGCAATTAAGTATACTTCACAATCATGTTATCGTTGAATAACAAGATCGTCCATTATTCAATCATTTTATAAAATCATAATTAGAAATCTTATTTTGAATAAGAACCTTATTCCTTGGCAACGACAATCCTAAGATGTTGAAAGATCCAGCCTACACGTGGGAAGAGATGACCATTTAATTACCTAAATTTGTTATAGTTTCTAGTTTCTACGATGAGGCCGAGCAAAAAATGTTGAGCACGTTAAGCTTTTACGAGTCTCGCGTGACGCGGCGTGTAGAAGCCTTAGTAAAGACTGGTCGAGAAACAAGCTCTGAAAATAAGCGGTCAGTCTCGTATTACTCTCATTGGCAGCAGGTAGTTACTTTCAGGGATCATTTAGGAAAGATTTTAAAGATGTTATTATTTTAATGTTTTTATTATGTTGAATTAAGTCACTTATGTAACGAACTTCGTGTTCAATATAGCGACCAATCAGTGCTATAGGCTGACAAAGGCAGATTGAAAGCATAGGATTGTCGAAAAATTGTTTATGCACACATAAAAGAGGTTTTAAGAACAACATATTATACGATGTGTAGCCCAATCTCATGAAAATATAGCATTTTCAATCTTTATCTTATTTAATAACACACCTACTTCAAAATTTTATCACTCATCTAATCTTGAAATAAGGGGTTTTGACATTGTTATAGATACCTGCTTTGTTTTAACTGTTCAGCCTGCTACCAAATTTCACTTATTGATCTCTTTCGCTTCTTATACATTGGCTATATTGGCATAGAAATAAGTAAATAAGTTCAGAAGTATTCGTATCAGACAAACGAATTTCCTGCCTACGTGAAAGTATTGGAGCATCCCTGGACATGGCAGTCGAGAAACGAAGCCACGGTAAGGCATTGACGTATATTCGGGAATGGTCCGAATGGATTACATTTGTGGACTGCTTGCGACAGGCGTGTTCTGGAATATACTAATATACTCCTTATCGAACCCGGTGGAAGTCTAGTAGCTACTTCAAACTATCGTCAGTCATGAAAAGATCCGGTCAAATGACACGATTTTAGATCTTCTGTGAACAAGGCACGAAAAGGAAAAGAATCGGCGACAGGCCACATCAGGCCTACACTTCAGCGCCGACATCACTATGTTATGTTATGTTATGTTATGTTAATAGAACCATCAATAGGTTTCTGCAGTGCATCTTGGTATCTGCTGATGTCAGTGTCTGCAGTATCAATTTTATCTTCGCTGTTAATTGATTTTTGTTAATTTTACTTCTCTGGCCAACGTAGGTACCATGCAAAAGCGGGGATGGTCCTCTGAAGAGAATTATGCCAAAATAATAAAGAAAGTTCGTTTAAAATTTGATCATTAAGAGTTGCACCGTGAGTTCAGTGCGTCTGGGCGCAGTGAAGTGTGCCCATGACTCTATTAAGTTTGTCTGTATACAGCGGTATGCATTGTTAATAATGCGTGACATGTTGGCCATTAATTATAAACTGTTGTAGCACGAGCGGTGCACTCGGGCGTGGTGAAGAACGGCAGCTACGAGTACGGTGACGGTGGTCTGTACAGACTTTATTCTAAGTAATAATACGCATCATGTTGACCGTGTACGAGGGGCATCCGGAGAGTAGTACCCGTTCGGGAATTGAAAAAAAAGGAAGTAAATATTAACAAATTTATATTTGTAAATATTAACATGTTTATTGAAAAGAACATGTATTACACTACTTCTCTACGTAATCTGCGGACAAATTTAAGCATTTGTCGTATCGTATCACGAGTTTTTTGTTACCAGTGTCATATTCCTCCGCCGCCAGTGTATTGAGATACGCAGTCACGTGTCCTTTCAATTCTTCGTCATTTTGAAACTTTGCCCTGCCACGAAGTCCTTGAGTTTCGTAAACAGATGAAAAGCTGAAGGATCCAAGTCCGGACTGTAGGCTGGATGGTCGAAAATTTCCCACTTGAATTTTTGGAGAAGTTGTGTTATCCGAGCCGTATGCGGCCTGGCATTATCGTGCAGGAGAAGGACGTCGGGAGCCAGCAGACCTAGCCGTTGATTTTGAATTGACCGCCGTAATTTTTTTATGTTGCACAATATGCATTGGCATTGATTGTGTCTCCACGGGTCTTGAAATCGATGAGCTGTGTCTATTGCCGATCCCAGAAACACTGGCGGCGGAGGAATATGACACTTGTATACAAAAACTCGTGTCACGATACGACAAATGCTAAAATTTGTCCGGAGATTATGTAGAGAAGTAGTGTAATACATGTTCTTTTAAGAAAACATGTTTACATTTGTTAATATTTACTTCCTTTTGTTCAATTCCCAAACGGGTACTACTTTCAGGATGCCCCTTGTCTCTACCACCCACAGTGCACAAGGCGTGGTGAAGAACGGCAGCTACGAGTGCGATGACGGCGGTCTGTACAGACTTTATTCTAAGTAATAATACGCACCGTCTTGACCGTGTATCATCCACAGTTCATCCTGGCGTGGTGAAGTACGGCAGCTACGAGTGCGATGACGGCGGTCTGTACAGACTTTATTCTAAGTAATAATACGCATCATGTTGCCCATGTATCATCCACAGTGCACCCTGGCGTGGTGAAGTACGGCAGCTACGAATACGATGACGGCGGTCTGTACAGACTTTATTCTAAGTAATAGTACGCATTATGTTGCCCATGTACCATCCACAGTGCACCCTGGCGTGGTGAAGTACGGCAGCTACGAATACGATGACGGCTCGCTCTACATCGGCGACTGGAACGAACGGGGCCAGAAGCACGGCATGGGGCACCTGGTGCTGCCCGACGGCTCCCAGTACGACGGCACCTTTCAGAACGGCCTCTTCACCGGGCTGGGGGTGCTCGCTTTCTCTGATGGCGCGAGGTGCAGTATCAGTAAAAATACTGTAGTTAGGAAGATAAATATTGAGCCATAACGGCCACTTGGAGTTCCTAAAAAAAAGGGGCTTCGAGGTGGTGTATAGGTGAGCTTGGGATGGCGATAAACCTTTACATGCCGTATCCTTTAGTTGGAAAATCAATAGACTTAAATATCCTTTAAAAATTACACATTATTCTCTAAATTAGGAGTATAGTCACTGCATGGCGGATCTCTCAATAGTGATCAATGCTTAAAACTGCATACAGCAACATTCACTTTGCACGTAGTTTTCGAATGCAGCAAGCACTAAGAAGGTTCAACAAAATGGCTCTAATGGTGATTTGTACGTCTGTTTGGTCAGCAGATACGAAGGGGAGTTCATGCAAGGATGGTTCCACGGCCATGGGGTGTTCTGGAGGAGCGATGGCATGCGCTTCGAGGGGGAGTTTCGAGGCGGCCGAGTGTGGGGACACGGTCTGAAATTCCTCTACACCCTTCGTCAAAAATTATTATTTTTCCATTTCAATTTCCCTGCATTTTAGTTTCATGGTTAGGCCTTATTACTCAACAAATTTTTAGCAATAATGTTAGAGCTATGAAAGCATCCAGAAAATTTACCGGGCATTAATTAGGAATTAGGAAGGATATATTTGGATATTATTACTACCCAGATGCATGCGGTCTTCTCTGGCTTACAAGTACAGTTACACATCAGCGTACGCCTGATTAGGTTTGAAATTGGGGAGATGTATTTTTATTTCGATCTTTCTCTCTAGAAGAACTCTATAGATTTATTTGTCAGATTTCCGCCCGTATAGTGGCTGTAATGGCACGTAAAGGTTCTCAATCCTGCAATAACAAAGTTAACAGGGAGGAAAATTAGCAACACATAGAAAGATTTAACACTACCTATAATATTATAAAATCCGACACAGGCCTAAGTACAGGAATTGAGCCGAGTTCTTGTATATAGCGCGAAATGACAGTGAAATAATAAATGAGACACAAACCTAAGAACAGAATTTGGACGGAATTATCGTCTATAGCTAAATAGGTACGACACCGATACCGACTCGTCAATATCTGCTAAAATACCTGCCTCTACAAAAATAAACGAACTGCCTAACTTACGTTTCCCCAAACTGGTACATCACCGGGTTTGGGAAGGAGACACCCGACACTGAAAGCTGGTCGACTTCTCCATAACTTCTTTCGCGGTATATAGTTATTGTTAATCGACGGCCTCGCGGGATCTTCGTGACTCCTTAGCTTAGCGCCCTCTCGATGGTATCTCGTGATGCGGCTGTGCTGCAATAGACTCACGATCTTCGGTGGAGTCAATCCCGAGACTCGAGATACGTAAAGCGGCTGAAGTCGGGACCCGACTGAGGCGTTAGACAATCGAGTTACTCCGGCGAGAGATGATATAAGATTCTCTGAAGGATGTCGTATCGTCGTCCATTTTTAACTCTTCTGCTGTTGTATTCTCTGCAATCTTCGCTCCACCGCATACAGGTTGTTCGCGTGTATTTTCGGAATCCTGTCCTCGGTATTGCGCTTTGGTCACCAATCTTTCCTATACAACGGCGTGTAGGAAACGGCTACAACATCGGTTCCGCTTCTCTTGTTCTGAACGTCCGCCAGATCCACTTCATCTGACGCCTGCCTCCTGCGGTTATTGCCGCTATGTGATCATTAAATTTGACCTGAGTATTCATCAACACTTCTAGATCGCGAACCAGTCGCTTCTCTTCGATTTCCGAGGCATCAGGTGTCAGGGTGCTCCTTACCAGCTCTTCCACAACCTCTGTATCTCAGCAGAGCCTCAAACTTGGTCCCGTTGAACTGCATGTCGTTCACTTGGACCCAGTTATATATTGCAGGGAGGTCTTCTTGCAACCTCTCACAGTCCCTCCTGTCCGTTATGGTCATTAGTATCCTGGTGTCGTCCGCGAATGACGATGCAGTGGCGTGGTTCACTGCTACATCTATGTCGGTGATGTGGATCAGTGGATCAATATCAGTGATCCAGATCCATGTTTGAGCGTGTGTCTCAAATATGAAATCTGGTGCATCTTGAGTGTCGAGATGTCAATGTGCATCTTAAAATGCATTTTGACAAAGGTGGCATGAAATGAGAGGAATATTCAACCGAAATATTTTAGGAGCTTCACTGAGAATTGTGGGATTACAAATGAACCTCTTCTCCCACTGGCATGGGTTGAATGGGGTTAACAATAAAATTTAGTTACTTCTGTATCCTTTTTCTCATTGTTAAATGAAGTAAATTCGCTGCAGGTTTGGTCACTTTTGTCGACGGCTCGAACTGGTTCCTGAAAAACGAATGCTAGGCAAGGGTCGATTGGGTTGAAAATGCAATTAGTTTTAGTATCCTTTCCCTCCTCATTTAACACGTTGACTACGTATTGGTACATATGCGTACAACGAAATGTATTTCTCCAGGAGGTAGTGGTACATAATTCAGGTTGCCTAAAATCGGCCAAATCCGAGAACAAAAAAGGTCAAAAAAGGCCGATAAGTAAATGTATACTAGTTTATTTGTAGGTTCCGCTATAAAAATTCCATTTATTTTCTTTTTGCAGTATTTAAAATTTAATAAGGAAGTACCCCTATCATAAATTTTAGTCGGCCTACGCAATTGAGAAAAACTAAATCACGGAATTTGTCCGGAAAAAATGACCGTCTGGCAACCCTGTTTAAAAACAGTACAACAAATGAAATAATAGTACAAGATGAAGCAATCGTAGTCAACGTGTTAATGACGTAAATTCGCTGCAGGTTTGGTCACTTATGCCGACGGCTCGAACGGGTTCCCGAAGAACGAAGGTTTCTTCCAGGACTGCCGCTTCGTGCGCAAGGAGCGGTGCGCCGAGGTTGTGCTCAGGGCGCAGAAGGTGGCGCATCTATCGCGGGCCCAAGCAGACTCTTAGATATTGACTTCATAATTACTAAGTAAAATCTGTCTAGATATTGACTTCATAATTACTAAGTAACTTTGTCTAACTATCTTTTTACAGAGGACTTTGCTTTAAATTACTTGTTTTTAGTACCATTACATCCATTTGATTTATTAATTTACTGTATCTGTTAACCAGTAAATTTTTTATATTATATTTCCCCCTTGCGCAATTTGTGTAATTGCACCTGCATGCATTTCATGTAGGATCAATAATAATGCACTACTCATTTTATCTTGTATAACGTAATCAATATTAAATAATCGACCTGTACCTCCTTGGTTGTTGAATAAACTACAAATTGCTCTACTATTTAATTCCAACCCCAACGGAATGAACATCAATATAGGCTTATTCTTAAATACGTAAATAGGATTCTTCTTAAACACTTCTTAATATTATCGATCTTTTACTCAACATTGTTTGTTCATTTCAGCCTCACGTATGCGCGTTATTGCATTTTCTTTTAACACATTCCAGGCGTACGAATTGACAGTAGTAGATTTTTTCTCAAGTCAAAAGCAGACAACCTAACTTAACGTTATAGGACACAGAAGTTAGGATCTTGAGGATCAGGCTAAGACGATTGAGGATATGAACAGATAATTGAAATATCTGAATGACGCGAGTATAATCTTAAAACCAAAATCTAATCATGTTACATTCGAGAAGTTCACGACGGGTAATTATAGATTAATTGCGATGATAAAATAATGAAGCAAAACGATATTTCCACTCTGAAAATGTCCAAAATTAATAAACAATTACTGAGCATTTCATTATTTCCAAATCCCGCCTGTTTTTTTTCTTAATACATGATCGTTTGTTCTTCGCCGGCACACAAACCGACGGACGGACTGCACTTCCACCGCATCGCCGGACCACCGCCACACGTGCATGCTTGCATTGCAGTAAGCCAGTAGCGTGGCTGACTTCTTGTTGGTGGGAGGTGACGGCCAGTCTCATTCGGTACTATTTCCCGTATTAATTCATCGGTGCTACCGATTTATTTTGTCATCCGAAGTTATCCTTGTGAGTATAAGTTCCAAACTAGCATTGTTCTAGTTTATAGGATGATTTTAATAGTTATTAGTTGATATTCAGCACGAAAAATGTGTTCCAGTCAGGTTTACTTACCTTACTCTGCTAGTCAGCCTTAGCCGGTAACCAAAAAATGCATTGCGAAATTACCATCCAAATGTAAGCGTTTCTACAATGATACAATTCCATGTGAATGTCCGTGACATCGATAGCCTATAGGAAAATCCCACTTTTTACTAGAACTTCACATTTATGTGACTAGGTAGTTAATTTTTACAACACGACCGCCGTCCGCCACTATACTACTTAGTACTTAATACAAGTACTGATTTTAAATATTATTTATTGCCACTTCAAATTTATCTGCACGATCGGCTTGTAACAGATCGACTCTAGTCCATGCCCATCTGAACTGCTAGTACTCTATTTGATGAGGTGGCGAATAATAGAAGGTGGTGATGCTAGCGTGGCTGCGTGTAGTAGACCTACCACTGCTACCAGGCATCGGTGGGCGTTTCCTTGCCACTGTTTATTTTATGCTGCGGCTCTCGAGCAATAAATACTTCTATAATCTAATACACATACGGTATTACTGTTATACACTATACACTGGTATTCATTTGGTATACGGCTGTTTGTGTTCTCACGTTACTAATGACGAAAGTTTGTTGGGCTCCGGACTCGCAAAGTTAGATCTGTTAACAGTTATCAGTATCAAATTCTTTCAAGAATGTTGGTGATTCTTTGCTGTCCCTAGTATTAACGATGTATCAGTATTTGCTCCTGTCACCTTCTTGTATGAGGCAGAAGGATTCCTGCATTTACTTGACTACGAACCGAACGATAACTGAACGAGATCGATCCTGCGAACCGAACGATAACTGAACGAGATCGATCCTGCGAACCGAACGATAACTGAACGAGATCGATCCTGCCGACTGCCGAGTGCCTACAGCTCTCATTCGGTCGGCCATTGTTTGCTCCAGCTTCTTTATTTTGCTGCCAGTTTTTCTTCAACAGCTTGCATTTTGTCCTTCATGTCCGAATTATTTATTGTTTTCAGGGATTTCTGAATCGACATTTTGACTTGCAATTCGACAGTTGTCTTCTTTTCTGTTCTCAAAGAAGCATCAGTTTTTTTCAGCTACGATGCTTTCCAAATGAATTACCTATATTATTTGCTAACTGCATGAAGGCGTGACCACATGTTAGTTCAATTTAACTCGGCTAAACTGCCCAATGAACGCGACTATCCTCTTTATAGTGCTATTCCTACCTACATTGTGAGACTAATGTGAGTTGATCTGGCTGTAAAGGGATATCGCTCATGTCCACTGAAGCAGTCGAAGGACGAACATTAGTTTAACCTTCAGGGTAGTGGCCATCCGAGAGGACGGCTGTACTGCCTTCATCAAGTAGCAAGCCTGCCTGAAGTTCACCAAGTTGATTGCATCATCTGAACGAAGCATCCGTTCGTTTGTGATGAAACTGTGCCTTGTCAGGAAAATTTAATCCTTTTATATTAGAGAAATGCTCGTTTTTTTTTTTAATTTTCGATGACACAAAAACTTAATGCCCACCTCACGTGCCAATAATGATATTGTGAACGGCTGCGATTTAAACTAATTTTTTTTGTGTCTCTTCAGATTCAATTACCGTTTCAGACAGACGCAGACAACACTTGCCATATCTATCTACAGTTTAGTTCATATTTGTCCGGAATATTATCAGTGATATTATCAGTGTGACTTGTTAAGTAAAATTTTATTTCCCAGTTGAATAATGATATTTTAGCGGCAGGGGTTGTACTAAACGGCAGGGGTTGTACTAAACGCTGAGTTTACCGTTACAGATAACAATACTATCAGGATGACGATAGATGACATGATTTTTTCCGACGAGGGGCATCTGACTTATTGAAACTATATTTATACTTATAACACTTTTTAAAATTATAACAATTCGGCATTAGTTATTCAAATGCAATTCAAGCTTGTTGCTGTTGTGTGCATGGGGTCTGGCATGCACATTCCATTGCAATCGTTCGCAACTTCGTACTAGTGTGGTACTAATTAGGTTTGGTTCTCAACAGTTTGCAATTGTTAGAATGTGCATAGCTGGGTGACTGCGACGCATGATAGCGTCGTGTTGGTGCTTCTCGTCCCCGCTGTTTGATGTTTTGGTAGATAGGTTTGAGCCAGGCGCTTGGGGCCATACCTTCAAAACTTGCTAAGTTAACGTAAGTACTTACGCTCTATTTCTTGTCTATGATTGGATGATTGGAGGATTTTGCTTGAAAGGCCGTCAATGATTGGCTGATGAACTTACGATCTCTTAACTTTTTTTGAAAGTATAGGCCCTGATGTTTACGCGTTCAGTGTAGCAGTGATGGCGCTGACATTGTTGTGGCGTGCCGGCGCTTATGATCAACATCCTGTTCATTCAAGATTAAGTTCACTATTCATTGCCAGTTGCCATGCTTTACTAGAGCCTGAACAATTCTTCTACAAATTTGTGAGAACTCGTATTTGTTAGTAATTTCACACTGAATAATTCCAGGCGTGGGATTGAAGTAATACGCTGAATTGTCTGCCAGTCCTATAGGTGTTGCTGCCGACCCGTGCGTTTTTTTCACATGAAAAATTTCGTAATAACTGTTGACTATTCTACTTATCTGAACTGGGCAACTAATTCACGATATTCCTCTTACCTGAACTGGGCAACTGATTTACGATATTCCTCTTACCTGAACTGGTCACGTGGCGTAGGTAGGTATCGAGGATGGCGGTGTTTTTGACCGCGACTGGAGAGCAGGGCTGCTTGTGTTGATAAACATCCTTGAAATCTTGCGTTATGATGTGGATGGCGGGAGTGATGTGTACTGTGTGGATGACAGGAGTGATGTGTTCAGTGTGGATGGCAGGAGTGATGTGTACAGTGTGGATGGCAGGAGTGATGTGTACAGTGTGGATGGCAGGAGGGATGTGTACAGTGTGGATGGCGGGAGTGATGTGTACAGTGTGGATGGCAGCTGATGTATATCAAATTGAACGTCAGTTTGTAGATACGATTGTGTTGACCACAATTGAAGTTTCGAGTTGTTTTCTTTTCTAAACAAAATTGAATATCAAAACTACTGTCATATGTGAGCTTCACCTTACAAAAGGCTGACAGTGTTGTTCGATTAAAGACAATATAATTAACACTTTATTTTTGTAAAGATCAACTGAATCCATCCATATTCCGTTACTTATAAATAAGATGACTGCTTAAATGTTATGAAGGAATTATTTCGTGTGCTTAGATCCTCAAATCCTCACTTTATAACTTGCGGGTCACCGACTTGTCATACTATTGAAGAAACGCTTTCCGTTGTGTTAGCGGTTTCATATGACTAGAAGTGAATCTTTCTATTTTATGATTAATAAATCATATTTTTGAAATTAATTAGAAAATTCAATTATCTCTCTTGCTCATTTGTTTCAACTTCCTGCAGTTTTGCACTGCGGTTTTCTCTGAATACCGAAGTGGGTAAACAAAAATAACTTTTCTTCTTTCCCTTGAAAATAGATATTTAATTTATTTACGAAAAAAGCATGAAAAAAAAGATCTTCGTTGAAGTTTAATGCCTGATTTCTAACTTTCCGTCGATTGTTTAATTGCTCTGGGAAAAGGGTCCTGCTAATCGGAGAAATTTTTTGAGCATTTATCCATCGTGATTATGTATAGAAAAAAGTTATGAGAAGTGCTTATAATAATTTTAATGATAAATGTCTCGCTCGATATACATGACTTGTTTCAGCAAGCAGACAGTGAAGTCTTCGTAGTCCTTGTATTTATTGTAGACTGTAACTCTTCGAAGTTTTCGTATTCTAACTCAACGTCGATGCAATGATATTGACAGGCAGATAATACCGTCATCAGGTGTCTGGGCTGAATTTTATAAGAGTGGGAGGTGAGCGAGTCAAGTCAGGCGGCGCTGCCAACCCTCGAGATCGTCATGAAATATTTTAACATCCTGAAACTTGAATCTGAGATATGCTATTTTAATTTGTTTATAAAACACTGTTTTGTCTAATATTTAACGATGATATAGTGTTAGTGATGATATATATAAAAGTTTAAGAAGGATATGACACATTGTTTATTGGAATCCTCTGTTTGGGGTTCCGAGTGGCGACACCCAAGCCAGTCTCGCTGCGGCCGTTCTTGGAAGAGGACGCCGAATTTCTAAGCTCCGTGAGTTGATAGTTTCGTGGCAGTGCAGCGAAATGCTGCCTGGCCTTGACTAAGTTTGGAAAGTTTCTTCTATGTTTGAAATGCTCTGCCCATCGTAACTCTGACTTAATACTCAATTTTGTAACGCTAGCCCTTTAAATTCGTCAAATACTTGAAAAATTCGACTTTGTTCTATTCTGAAATGAAGCCATGTTTATAGTTGACACGATTGTTTTTCATTCAATGTTTGCAAGAAATGGTATGAAAGACTGATATGTGTTGTGAAATTATTTCCAGTCTTTAGTTCTATTTCGTTCTTGTTTCTAGGGTTACACGAAGACAACGCAGTATTCGTATCATGATTGTTATTCTGGTTCGAATTGCGTTGATTGGTGATGAATCGCAGCATTTCATAATGAGTTATGATTTTTTTCTACAAATTGCTCTAGTTGGTTATGAAATCTTCTTATTTTTATAGAATTTTAGTACGCAGGAGTCAGCTTGTTTGTTATGAATTATACTAGCTCATTATTGATCGCTGTAGTTAGTGTATTGTAATTTGCCGTAGTTTAATTGGTTCGCTAGGTTTTTAAGAATTTGGAAAGTTCGTAAGGAATTAAGGTCGTGTGCAAAGAATAGCGATCATGTGCAAGATTTATTTCGTAAGTCACGAAACAGATCACGTGTACACGTAAGTTACGTATTGGCATTGCGACGTAAGTGACACGCCTTCACCGATCTCCGACGACTCATTGTAGTTATTTACAGTGGCCAGAACTATTGCTAATGACTAATTTTACTAGTTTGGATTCTGCATACAATGGATCTGTGAATGAATTTTTCATTGGATTCAGCTTGTCCTGATTTAAAGGTCACGTATACGACAGGATATGTTCACCCACGTACACATACGAGGTGATTACATTCCTTGAAAGTTGAATGACGCGAAGCCCAATTTAGAAGAAGCACAGTAAATTAATGGACCGGACACTCTGTAGAACACGTACGTTGGACTTATTACCCTAACGAATCTGTTGTGTGGCGGATCTAGTCTGCTTTATTTACGGACTACTGGTCACTCGATATATTAAGTACAGTTGATTGACACATAGGCAATTTAGCAGAAAACATACAAGGAGTTAACGTACGTACCATGTGGCGGTTATCGTTTGATTAATTGATTTCGCTCACCGGTGTGTAAACGAAATATTTAAAATATATATATTTATTTTGTTGTTGTTGTTATCACTTTCTTTGCGTTCTTCGTCTCTCAGATGCTAATGCTGCGTCCTTGTATAGCCTCGCTTACTGCTCGTGTGGGAGATGAATGATTCTTGATTAAAGTAGTTTTTACAGCAGGCACGATATCGTTTCATAACCTAGTGATATTTTACCTATTTTACTTTGCATTTTCGTGAGCCGTCTGATAAGATAGTCTGTGTTTTTCTCAGTTCTCATGAACCACCCTCTGAACCCATGAGAGAAAAAATGAGCTCATTGACGTTCGAGGATTTCGAAAGTAATTTGGCCTTGGGGCATCCTTTGCCACAAGATTTCGTGTTACTATCTGCTCGTGTCTTACCCTTCATTGCCACACGAGACCGCTTTCTCAACTCTCGTGATTTGTCTTTCTTGCCGACTGCAGGCTGTCCCCATTCCATATGTCAGTTCGCCAGTTTTTTCGGTGATTGATGCTGAATTGATGTTAGTTAATGATGAACTTATAATTCATTACGTTAATAAATAATTTTCTGAGATACACAGTTCTCAGAAACACAGTTCTTCCTTCTTCTTCTTGTCCAACGCTTTATCAGGTAATAATGATGAAAGTTTAAGGGTATAATCTTAATTATTAAATATAGGTGTACAGGAGACACGATGTATTACGGTAGCAATGAAGGTATAAGTAATACGACACGCTCGGGATTGAATCTAGCGAGAGTCGGCGAGTAGGAATTAGAGTGGATGCTTGGGAAGTCTCTCTCTACAACTGCCTTGGTGGATAAATTTTTACAATGTTGCGCAACTCTATCAATCAATTAGTAGCGAAGTTAGTTGATCGAAGTACTGTTAGTAACGAATGAACAGTTCTTTAATCAACTCCTACCTAATGTAACCAGTTTAATCCAACGTAAGCGAAATAATCACTAACAGGAAATGCGGAATTGCGAACACTTCATCGTTCAAACATTTCAAGGCGAGAAAAACCGTTCTCACGACAACTCCCCACTATAGCAACACGAGAGCATTACTGCTGCTCGAGCAATAGAGAATGTTGCAACTTTAATTAGCCGAGTTGACGATTGATTCCCATAACTCAAACACGTGAACAGTTTTCAATTTCTTAAGCTTGTTTCACTGAGGCTTGTTTTACTGAGGCTTGTTTCACTGAGGCTTGTTTCACTGAGGCTTGTTTCACTGAGGCATGTTTATCTGAGGCTTGCTTCTCTGAGGCTTGTTTCACTGAGGCATGTTTATCTGAGGCTTGCTTCTCTGAGGCTTGTTTCACTGAGGCTAGTTTCATCAACAAGGCAAGCACGTCGTCCATGAACGAGAAAAAAGAATCTGCCCCACTCACGGATGTTGATCGATACAATGAAATCGAAGTCAGGAGTCAATAACATGTCATGAACAAATCCAGGTCGAAAGATCCTCGAGTGTTGACGTGTGAGAATTATGTCGATGTGAGAACGTCTTACATTACCGGTTACAGTATGCTCAACATTATACGCGTTTTTGGTCAATTTTTCTTTAACCACATATGATCCTTCGAAATTCGCAAATTTCCTACTTTCGTTTTCGCTCTAAACGTATCCAACAAAACAACGTTCGCCAATGGAAAGAAGTCTCTTCTTTTTTGTTTTCTTATTCGTCTGCTAAATAGTCTGATATATTTTCATCTAATACTTTCTTCAAATACGCTCGAATTTTTAGCAAATCTCTTGAGTCGCTACCGGTACTTTATGTTAGTCCTTATAATTGTATGTAGACTGGCGAATTTTGTTCAGGTGCATCAATTGCTGCCGGGTGATTTTTATCATCTGCGAACAACATGAAATGGGGTGAATCACCCATGCTTGCATTAAACGCAGTATTTATCGCTCTCATGCATTCGGGAAGAAATAAATCCCTCTCACAGAAATTTTCCGCTTCAACGGGAAATGATTGAAGTTTTCTAATAATATTCTGTTTTTTTTTCGTTCTGCTATACCAGAACTGACAGGATGAAATAAATCAATTTCGATTTTCATCATTTTCTGAATGCCTAAATGTTCATAGACTCTTTCGCAGATTTCTTCGCATTATCCGAGATCAGTTCAGTTGACGCGGGCACGCCAAAGGAGCAAACATGTGTGTGCGAAGCGCTGCAGCAATCGTGTCATTAAACCGAATTATGCGCTAAGCGCCTTTTCGCCTTCTACTATCGTTTCCGTTTCCCCTTCTTTCTGACCAACCTGAGCCACCTCTTGATTTTTTCCCACATTTCATAGTGGCACCGCCACCGCCACCACCAATCGTGTCAGATATTTTGTCTCGAATCGGTACTTGTACAACAAAACGAGTCAGGTAATCAGTGATCACTTGTATGTATTTATTTCCTGCACTCGTATCAGTGATCACTTGTATGTATTTATTTCCTGCGCTAGTTTCAGTTAGCGGACCTAATACGTAGGTCCATTGAGGCAATGTCCCAAGCCTTGTCAGGTAACTGAAATTTGCCTATGGCAGTTTTGAGTGTTATTCGTCTATTTCCTTTAATGCAGCTTTCACAAGCGTGAACGAGGTTTAGAATTTGTCGTCTTTCTTCAGGAAGATAGAAGTTAAGTTCAAATCTTCACTGTGTCCTTCAAATGGTGACTATGCTCGAATTAGCACTAGGTTTCTTACATATCCTAAATTCGATCAATTCTTGTCACAATTAATGCTACCTGTTAATAGGTTCTATAGTAACTTACATATTAGCAGGCTGAGCCGACGTTGTCGAGACCGATAAAATCTGCAATTTCGAATTGCAGTAGAATATGTAATTGCATTTACAATCTACAATATCCCGTCATATCGTATCCTGTTGATAGGAACTAAAGATACTTACTTGAACCCATATTTTACCTATAAACCCCTATTTGGCTAGGCCTCGAATTATTCAAAAACTGGTATACGTCTGTTGAGTTAATTTGTTTTTCAATTTATGTTTTTCAATTTCAAAATTTGCGTTTTTGATATTGATCCAATCCTTTTCCCCAATTTTGCAACGTCTTACTATTTACCTACCAACGAAGATAAAATTTTCATGTCCTGACTCGTACGGCGCCAGGTTTCAAAGACACATACAAACACACGTATAAACTTCGACATGTATGTTTAACATTTGGTCACGATACCATTTATTTATAAATTATCGGTTATTGGGACTCATCTTAGTAATAACTTTTAGGACAGGAATTATGATGCGTGGAAATGCGTACGTTGATGCCTACGTTTTGTGTTTGCGTCACTATTTTCTTGGCCGTTATATCACCACATCCGTGTTTGGATTTATTATCACCCTGATAGCTTAGATGTCACGTACATTTAGTAACTGATTTGATTTTACTAATTAATTATCTACGCATTTCTCCACATTATTTGATGATTAAGCAGTCACTTTCTGAATTGTGTGGCTGGATGAAAGTAAAAATAAATATATTTATGCTGTAAAATGAGTGTGAAACTGGCGGTTGAAACCTTGGAAAACCTAATGAACAACTCGTAATTTTATGCTCGTCCTAAGGAGATTACTTCGCATGCTTTTGGAAGGAGCTTAACACAGAATTCGGAATCATGACTCGCAGTCGATACCTATGCCACTGCGATCAATTTCTCAACCGTGATAGAGGATACCCCGTAGGTCTGATACGAACAATAGCTGTGCGCAGTGCGATGGTATGATGGACTGACTGTACGTATTAGCATGGGCGCTGTAGAGCTCGGAACCTTTACTTGAACCTAAGTGTTATTTATGGACAATTTTAATTTGGTTCCATTCATTGTATTATTAAAATAATTTCCATTTGAGTTATTATTACATTTTTATAATTTTATTTAGAAACTATAGTTACAATTCTGGATCCAGTGCATGTTCCTTAAGGAAATTAAAATATTCTATGTGTTAACATGATCTTTTCTTATGCTGGCAACAATTGATGATTTTTGTCTGTTGTACAGGTTGAGGACTAACATGCCAGAGCAGCCCGTGCAAGTGACAGTCAGGATGACCGAGACACACCTCGCCCCCGGCGTGTGCACCGTGTGCAGGGTCAGTGCAGCGAGCGCTGCTTCTTGTGTCCTGACTTCAGGGCGAACTCGAGCGCTGTTCAAGCTTATGCTTTGGCTGTCCTCAATATGATGAGGCTGTAGCTGGTTATGTTTACTCACTGTAATGGTTGTGGCTGGATGACTAACTGGATGACTGGGGCTGGATATGGCTCGATGACTGTAGCTGGTTGTGGCTGTGTGACAGTAGCTGGTTGTGGCTGTGTGACTGTAGCTGGATGTGGCTGGATGACTGTGGCTGGATGACTAGCTGGATGTGGCTGGATGACTGTAGCTGGTTGTGGCTGAGTAGTTGTGGTGGGTGACTGTAGCTGGTTATGCTTGCTAACTTTACTGGTTGTGGCTGACTGACTGTAGCTTGGCCCCCAAAGTCCGCAGCATTCCGGGAGACCGACGAATCCTTATGAGAAAACGCATACGATTGAATAACAAATAGCTGAATCCACTGGTGATCTGAGGAGACGGAGACTAGTAGATTTGCACAAGGAAACCGAACTCGTTGCAGGACTCACACAGGATGGAAGAACAAGCTGCCGAAGAACGAGTAGTTGAGGTCACCAGAGAGAACCCGAAGTATTTTTTCAAATACGCCCAGTCCAAGGCTAAAATAAAAACACCAGTGGGACCGCTGGAGGATAACGATGTCCTTGTCGGAGATGACCAGGGCATGTGTGAGTTACTGGGATCGCAGTTTGAATCAGTCTTCTGTAACCCCCGCTACTCAAGAGAGGCGAATGAAATCGAAGTTCTCCAGGAGCTGCCAGGTGGAAGGGGGTTGGAGAACATTGAGTTTGGACCAGAAGAAATGGAAATAAGTATCAAAGAACAAGCAACGTTATCAGCACCAGGACCGGATGTAATTCCGGCAGTGTTGTTGAAAAAGTGTGTTGGAACTCTGAAGGCCCCGCTCACAATGCTCTGGAAAGCTTCGATGATGGAGGGAATTATTCCTGAGGGCCTAAAAGTAGGACTGATAACGCCAATCCACAAAGGAGTTGCGAGGGACAGACCCCAAAATTACAGACCGGTAACTTTGACCTCACATGTGATCAAGGTTTTTGAAATGGTAGTGGCCAGAAGGCTTGCCAGTATATGGAAGAGGCTGAACTGTATAACAATGGACAACATGGTTTCCGGCGAAATTGTTCCTGTTTGACACAGTTACTGGAACGCCATCACCGCCTTAGGCCCTACTGGAAGAGGGAGCTGGCGTGGATGTAGTATACCTGGACTTTGCTAAAGCCCTTGACAAAGTTGACCATGCGGTGCTCTTCAGAGAGCTGAGACTGTTGAAGGTAGGAGGAAACCTGTTAGGATGGATCCACAACTTCCTTACAAATAGAGTACAAGCGGTCGCAATTGGAAACTCGAAATCGAGAGAAGCGAGGGTAAAAACCGGAGTGCCACAAGGCTCGGTGCTTGGACCGATCCTCATCCACATCGCCGATATCGACTCGGAACATACCCACGCATCTATATCGTCATTTGCGGACGATACAAGAGTGGTGATGAAGATCACAGAAGGCCTAGCTTGCGAGAGGTTACACTTACAGGATCAATTGTCGACAGTCTAGGCTTGGGCCCTAGTGAATAATATGCAATTCAACGGCACCAAGTTCGAAGTAATGAGATAGAGTTGGCTCAGAGACCGGGATGTCACATCGCTGCTTGACATCGGATGATACAGAAATTGTAGAGAAGCAACTTGTTCGAGATCTCGGAGTGTTGATGTGTACTGAATCCACGCTCGATGACCACATCGAGGAAATAGTTGCGCGAGGGAGACAAAGGATGGGGTGGATCTGGCGGACATTTCGAGAAGAGAAGCAGCGCAAATGATTACACTCTTTAGAGCCTCGTGCTCCCAAACTACAAAACTGCTGCCAACTTTGGTCGCCGCTCAAGACAGATGCGGTGCGGAAACTGGAGGCAGTGCAGCGGACCTTCACGTACAGGATCAACGGCATGAGGGAGCTGGACCTGAACTACGGGGAAAGGCTGAAACACCTGGAACTGTACATACTGGAGAGGAGAAGAGAGTGGTATATCATACTGTACACTTGGAAGACGATAACCAGAGTGGCTCCCAACTTTGAATGTGAGACCTCCAAAATTGTGACGTATTAAAACGAAAGGAAGGGGAGACTGTGCAGGATTCCCTCATTCAACAACCGCGCCGCGGCCAGAGTACCGATTCTTCGTGAGGGATCACTGTCCGTGTTAGAACCAAGGCAAGGTTGTTTGACGCCTTACCAAAGGTGCTGAGTGGAGGGGAGTTTGACCTTGCGACTTTCAAGACACAACTGGATAAGTTTCGGAAGAAGATCCAGGATTGTCCAGTTATGGGAAACTACCCTCAGCAAGTGACAAGCAATAGCATCTTGCATCAGCTGGCCCAAAGCAAGGCAAATAGACGGAACACGTCCAACGTTACATCTGGGACCCGAGGGCGGGGTGACCTGCCTATACTACTTGGAGACGGAAGACGACGAAGGCGGAGCATCAGCTTGACCATGGACTGAGAAGTCCTAAACTCATCATAAGGTCATAAGGTGGTTGTGGCTGACTGACTGTAGCTGAGTGACTGCTATTGTGCGAGTGTAAGGATCAAGCCATTTCTAGCTAACCCTAGGGTAATATTTGCCTCCGTAGTCTTAGTCTGTGTTCATTAGCCGGCCATCAGCCACTCTTGCTCTGGCCGCCAGCGCCATAGGTTAGTAACTGATAGTGTTCTCTTGATGGGAAATCTTCACTTGTCTTGCCTGTGAATATTATGTTCTGAACCTTTGAAACGTTTAAGGGGCCATGCTGATCTCTCTTGTATCCATTCCAGTTCCGGTTGGGGAGACCATCTACTATCTGACACACCAGTGACCCGAGTTAACAGCAAGACTATCACAGCCGTGTTACCAAGTAGGCCTATGGAACTACGAGTCGTCTGTGCCTCTTGCCTGTGCCCCTGGAATCTTAAATTTTATTTTTCTCATCTCGGTAAATGATCTCTTATTATAAATTAACCATCGGTGACGTCATTTAATTGTTATTATACTAAAAGGTTTGATTATCGTCCAGCTACACAATCGTCAACTGCTTATGTGATATATATTTGTGATGACCATGAATTCGTAGGCTGAATATTCGTAAGTTCAGTCTGTACAAGCCAGCCTTGGGTCAACTTCATGTTACCCTCAGCTATACGATTAAAGTTATGCATCTAAATTTGGAAAAAAATAAAACTCGGTACTCACTGCAGTGAGTGACAGAGAGCGCATTTCAAAACATGAAGTCACAGACGGACAGACAAACAGACGGACGGATGGACGGACAGACAGACATGGCGAGCACAATAGTGCATTTTTTCCATAAATTAGAAAATACGCTAAAAAGTATGTGCCCAATAAACGCCGGGCAGGCTTGATTACAATCGGCTCTAAATGTAGCAGGCTTAAGAGGTTTCACTGCCTCTGTCGTTTATGTCGTGACGAACAATGTGGTGAACTCGATTTGTGGTCAGTTTTGTTCAATACAATTTCCGCCAATCTTGTCGTGGCCAATACTTTTTGTGTTATTTGCGATGTTCGTGTCCATGTTTGACTCCGCTGCCCCCTCCCAAATTAAGAGATAAGGAAATTCGCGGCCTCGTGCGAATTTTGGAATCTTTTTCATTTGTGGGAATATATTTAGTCCTCTTGACCACCACTGACACCTAATAATGCTATGCTTGTATGGCCCAACCAAAGAAAACTGAATCGTATTGATTTTAGGTAGTCGATTATGAATGTTTTCGCATATCTGTTAGAATTTCGCTGATCCTGTCCGCACTATGGTAGTTCAAGGGAACATTTTCGAAGGTGTGTAGGAATGTCATGCACAATGTATTCTTTAAAGTTCATTATATCTATTTTTCCCTAAATCCCCGAATACCTGCCCTGTCCTGCCGTTTCGGTGAACCTGCCTGTCCTGCTATACATCCGGTCCGGATTCTCAAGACCGGACCGGAAAAATACTTTCTGCACAGACCGTCATGAAATGCGCGGCCACTCGTCTGCCACTCTTGTTTCATAAGTCGGCAGTCACAATATAGTTTCCAACGAGCTTTTCAGGTACTAAAAAGAAAAATAATCGTTACCGGTATCTGGATAGGATAACACGGAAACGTAGTAATGGTTACCCATAAAACTACAACCTGAGCTTATATCTTGCATTTCAGCTTCTTGCATAGACGCTTTGAAATGAGTGACGTAACGTGCGTTGTGAGGAAACTTTGAATTACCATATCAGAGTGTAAAATATTTTATTTCCTATTTTTATACCTGTTCTACTGTATTGAAAAGACGTAGGAATCCCATTCAATATTTTTCCTAAATATGACTAGAAAGGTTCAGAATTATTACTCAATTATTTCTTGTTGCTGAAATCGTGATTCTATAAAAATGTTGAGTATCTACATAGGTAGTGGATTTTTTTAAATAATTAGATGCATAACGACTGTTATGAGTGTTATCAGTGTCCATTTCCTTGTCAACGGTTCATATCTTCAAAGGTGCTATGATCTTCTAATATTTTTGACTGTATTTTTCTATCCGATTTCTTACCCTACATTTACTACTAGATTATATCATTGTTGTGAAATAAGTAATACTTGGCAATTCAAGCTTTACTCAAACAAATGTCCGGTTACCTGAAAAGAGAGTAACCGACATTAAATACTAATCAACATAACAAATATAACAACAACAACAACAACAAACAATTAAACGGCAGATTTAAAGTCAGCATGTACGTGGTAGAAAACTTACATTACATTACGGCGGTAGTTAGAACGCGTCAGCTCGACGGGTACATTGAGACTGATACGGTATAGGTATTGAAGCCTGACCATGTAACATCAGATAGTCATCTTATTATGAACTTTATTCATATAGAAATCAGGACTATATTACAACAATCATTATATTTTGAAAAATTTTAGGACTGGAAAGGGATAAAAACTCCACTACGGTACTACGGTGGATCGCGTACGATGTAAATGAACGAATGTAGTTTGCTTCCGCGTGTTTCTCATGGTGATTTTAGAGGAGTATTTTCGTTTGAAATGTTTGTACTTTTAGTGATTCTTGACTTATTATTAAGTCTTAGTGTTTTATTTCATATCAATCGAGCACAAAATTTATATTTCGGTGCAAAAATTCTTAACTTTTTAGGCTAGCAAAAAAGCATTTTGCTTTGCATTTAGTAACAATTAAGCAGCTTCGTATTGAACCTCATATACTCTGTCACCATAGATTTTACTCTTTCCTAATTTGGTTTTGCAGGTTCTCAACAAATTGTTAACTTGTCTCTATACGTCTTCATTCCTTACCTACTATCCTCGTTAGCAAGATTCTTGCAAGATTCTCCTTCTATTCAACCGTATTTTCGTGTTCGATATGCAATCTTTCTGCGTAGATTCATTCCAAGTTATTTTTCCCTTTAAATAAGTGATTTTCGTTCAAGATAATCGTGCGTTTCGTACTGCACTTAAAAGTGATTGATCACTTTACCTTGCCTTTAGGAATGTCATGCACTATTCATCCCTTAAAGTTCATTTAATCTATTTTTGTCAGCCTATTGAATTGTTCGTATAAAAATGGATGTATCTTTTGCGCCAGTAAAACATGAGTCCGCGATTTGTTTAATTTAATTACTTGAATCATCTAATGTCGTACGGTATTCTCTTCTCGCTCCAGGTTTCAGAGCCCGTCAGGAAGTTCTGGCCAACGAGTCTCCTTTCATAGCTTTTGTTCATGTAATGAAATCTATTCCTTCTGTACTTCATCGGAACGTTGAACTGGTGGGGTGCCTTCTTCATTCAATATAACGCAAGCAATATAACCAAAAGGTCCAACATCATATCAAATTGTTTACAAGGAGCCCAACTCAACACTCCAACCTAACACGCGAGCGTCCCACGACAAAAGAGTGTTCATGACGCCATCAGTAACGACCCAGTAACGCACGAAACAACTCTATGAGACTTGACCTGCACAATCTTAAGCTCAGCACGCACAGTATCCCAGCAACCTTATATCGTTAAAAAGTAATGCTGGTTAACTTACAAATTACTTTACATGTAAATCATTAATATTGTGATAAGAAAAATGTACGAATCTTGTGCATTAACAATTTTTTAGACAATACCTAATGGTATAACTTCAGAGATTTTCGGCCAAAAAGTAAGTTAACTGAATGATAACTAGCGGAAAGTAGAAAGATGATGCCAGTGGATAGGTTCCTTTCAATAAGAAGACTTGATACCGACTCCCCCAGATTGCGGTCTTGCCCAACCACCGTCTATTTCACCTGGTATTTTCTGAAATCGATTCACAACCTAAACTTTGAGATGGCAAAAACGTTCCGCCCAACCGAGTATTTTTGCAGTCGTATTTTAGGAGAGTTACGTGACGTCACTATGGTAGGAGTCGTATACAGCTTACAGCAGCCATGTCCACCAATTTTGAACGCCTATCAGCCCTGAATGGAATGCCTAGTATCTTTAATTAAGGCTACCAATAAGTCGCGAATTGATCCTGCCGTCAGGAACCAGCCCACATCATTTTGTTTCAAATAGGAGTTTCACACCAGCGAATGCGGTAGTTGATAGACAACAGTGTTATGACAGTCCTCCACTAAACCTTTAATCGTAGCCTAATTTTATGATCTTGTCAGCACTTTAACTGTAACCAGATCTGGCAGATCACGACTCAATGTTAAGCTCTTCCTATAAAGCCCCCAAAGTCTAAACGGTCAAAAAGCTTGACTCATCGATTGACGCAAGCGTGGTTGGCCGTGTAGGAACCCGTTTAACATATGAAGCCCAGCTTGATGGTGATTGATAGAAAGTTCGATTGATAAAACGTGCACATGTTTTTAAGAATAAGGTCAAATCAGTATTTGATACCAAAGCTTATCACCGAAATCAACACAGCAGCTAAAAAAGCAACTACTAGCAAGAAGTGTGAACTGAACCCATTTCTGATCAGAGGAAAGTTATGATGTCGGCCGGAGTGAGTTTGATTGAAGCGCGCGTCAATCGTTTGACTCGAGCTGCTTGATCGTTTAGACTTTAGAGCCCCTTTATTTAGGAATTGTATGATACCTGCCTACCACCACCAGGCCGCGAATCGAATATGACTTCCGATTCATCGATAAATTACTTTACTTTTATTCAACAGAATATGAGGTTAGGTTTCAGATAGTAAAGTCAGGTCCATCGGCGATTGATCGTTCGATCGTCGGCTGATTCTATGCAAGGGTTGAGTACTGACGGCTGGCTGGTGGGAAGAATTATTCCTGGAACGCTCCTGCGCGCTTCGTCTGATTGGTGTAAAATTATTCCATGAGTTGGATGATGCTGAGCCATACCATTCCCGCGGCTTCTTTGCTGGAAGTCGCAGCTGTAGGCCACAAATTTAACTCTAAAATAAGCCCTGGAGCCACCGTCCAGCCTCGGCGCGCAATAGCTACACTTGGACTCAGAGCTAGGAGCTGCATGAAGAATTTTTGATAACTTATCACCAGTCCAGACAGTTGGTTATTTCCTATAACTTTATGAATGTAACAATCCTTGTAATTCAAAATAACGCACAGTATTACATTCATCTTATGTCAGTACAGATTGTTGGATTGTTTGCAGTTGAGCACAGGAGTTTTCCGCCGCCCGAGAACCGATTCGACACTTCAGCGAACTCGCCTGCGAACTCGCCTGCGAGCTCGAATGCAAAACCTGTCGGACCGGTCGCCCGAGAGAGAGTGTTGCGGTACAGATGATTCATTTGAAGCTCTAAAGAAAAGAATTTCATGGTTTTGGCAGCTGACTTGGAAATTGAGGAAATTCTGCAAAAAATAATGCACCTTTGCAAGACTTGAGGTTTTGTTATTGCAGATGCGTTGCGAGTGCA